ATATAATACAGAGGGACAGATCCATCGAAAGCTGAATAGATCACAGTTGAAAACCCGATCCAACCCTCCCTTCCTATCACCTCCCCCCTCCAACCCCCGCCTCCTCCGTCATCAACCCCCCCACTAATCCTCCCGCCCCCACCAGACTGCCGCATCTACACCCTGGGCGTCGAGGGCGCCTCCAACCAGACGCCAACCATCCCCTTCAGACAGCACATGACCGTCAGCTTCTTCACCGCGGGCCAGGCAGACAGCCGCGTGCAGACGACCATCCATCTCGTGGACTCCAGCAGCGAGGGCGGGTGAGTCCGGGAGGCGGATCGTCCCTGGCGTTTTGCTCGGGACTGGATTTAGGTGTTTGTGTTTCACTGGATTTTTTTTTTATCTTTATTGTTTATGTTTATATATATGAATATATATATATATATATATATATATATATATATATATATATATATATATATATATATATATATGTATATATACATGTATATATATATATATATATATATATATATATATATATATATATATATATATATATATATATATATATATATATATATATATATATATATATTTATCTATTTACAAAAAATCATTATTATTATCAACATCATTACTACTGTACTATTATAATATTGTTATTATTATTATTATTATTGTTATTATTATTGTTATTATTATTGTTCTATTATTATTGTTATTATTATTATTATTATTATTATTATTATCATTATTATTGCTATTATCATTATTATTATTATTATTATTACTATTATTATTTTTGTTATTATTATTGTTATCCTTATCATTAGTATCATTATTGTTATCATTATTATTATTACTGAATGGACACAAAGAAGCATACATATGTACTGTACATATAAATAAATATAATGCTTAGGTAGATAGACAGGTTGATAGATACATATGTACTGTACATATAAATAAATCCAATCACATTCAAATATAATGCTTAGGTAGATAATAATGGAAATATAGACAAACATATATCCAGACAAACAAACCAAGAAAAAGACATGAAGTTATAAACATATCATGCTATAGAAAGGCATTAAGTTATAAATATATGATGCTATGGAAAGACATGAAGGTATAAATATTTGGTGCTATGGAAAGACATGAAGGTATAAATATATGATGCTATGGAAAGACATGAAGTTATAGATATATGATGCTATGGAAAGACATGAAGGTATAAAGATATGATGCTATGGAAAGACATGAAGGTATAAGTATATGATGCTATGGAAAGACATGAAGTTATAAATATATATGATGCTATGGGTAGACATGAAGTTATAAATATATGATGCTATGGGAAGACATGAAGTTATAAATATATGATGCTATGGGAAGACATGAAGTTATAAATATATGATGCTATGGAACCCCTACAGAGATGATGACACCTCCTTATCTCCCAGCAGATCTGTCACCATCTTCATCAACAGAGATGCTGAGGTCGTCCTCCGATCCGGCGGCACTCAGCTCGGCGGCTCCCTCAAGCTGCCGCCGGCCCCCTCCCCCCCCTCCCACGGGCGGTGGGGGACGTGGACCTCCCTCGTCGTCAGTTTCCACGATTTTTGTCTCGTGGTGTACAGGTAAGAAGGGAGTGGGGGGGAGGGGGGAGGGGGGGAGGGGGTTATTCAGGAGGGGAGGGAAGGGGATTAATGCAGTTGGGAGATTTCTTTTTGTTTTTCTCTTTCTCTCTCTTTTGTGATTTGTTTCGTTCCTAACCTCTCTCCTTCTTCTTTCTCTCTCGTTCCCTCCTTCGCTCCTTCCTCTCTTTCGGTCCCCTTCCCTCCTTCCTCTCCTCCTTCCCTCCCTCTTCACCTTCTTTCCCTCCCCCTTCCTCCTCTCCTTCCTTCTACCCTCCCCCATCCACTCCATCTATCTCCCTCCTTCTATCTTCTCTATGTTTCTCTTACTCCCTTTAACGAAATCATCAGAAGAGAAAAAAAATAAGATGAAAAGAAAACACTGTCCATTTAACGGAAATTTCCAACTGCTAACTCTCCGGAAACGCGTCATGTGTTGATAGTGAATCACGTGGTTTGCTCCAAATGTTCTGGAGTGAGGGAGAGAGGAGGAGGCATAGGGAGAAAGGAGGAGGGACAGGGAGAGAGGAGGAGGGACAGGGGGAAAAGAGGAGGGACAGGGAGAGAGGAAGAGGGACAGGGAGAGAGGAGGGGGGATAGGGAGAGAGGAGGAGGGACAGGGAGAGAGGAGGAGGGATAGGGAGAGAGGAGGAGGGATATGGAGAGAGGAGGAGGGATAGGGAGAGAGGAGGAGGGACAGGGAGAGAGGAGGAGGGACAGGGAGAGAGGAGGAGGCATAGGGAGAAAGGAGGAGGGACAGGGAGAGAGGAGGAGGGACAGGGAGAGAGGAGGAGGGACAGGGAGAGAGGAGGAGGGATAGGGAGAGAGGAGGAGGGACAGGGAGAGAGGAGGAGGGATAGGGAGAGAGGAGGAGG